AATACCTGTCAGAGAAAGGTTATAGTCTTGAACGCGATTGTATGTGCATACAGTGCGCAGAGAAAACGAAGCGGCCGCTTACACAAGGTAAGTGGCATAACGCAGGTGGATTAGGCACTCTCATAAATGCAAAGGATGGGGAAAAAGTGTTTCAGTTAATAATACTTAATGCTTCCAAAATGTCACAAGGGTTGCCTATCGTACGATGCCCACATTATGACCTCATACAGGTGCGTTCTAGGTGAAAGGTCAATAGGATGCCATTTGATTAAGAATGCCAATTAAAATGATGACACCTGCTGTACACTGCTACTGCGCCTGGGGCACTTGGGCTAAAATAATTAGCGAATAAATGCTTCTCCTTAATGGTAATGAGGAGAGCGATTTTATTGGTCCAGCTGTCACCAATTTTCCAACTATCCTCGCAACCTTCGTGCTCAGTGGCCGAATTTTGCCTTGCAATCCTATTGAAAATCGGTCCACTTCTTTTTACAAATCTACATAATAATTTGTAGTAGAAGGAGTTTTAAAAAAAAGTGCGTACAAATTATTCAAGACTTGATAAAATGTGGTGTAACAGTGTCGTTTAAAACTGAGCAATGAATTACGTGGGCTCTTAATTCCCTCCATGCATTCTGCTCTGCAGGATGATATTCAGGTCATGCTGTGAGCCTCTGTATCTTCTCTATGTTGTTCATGTCCATCATTACATGCCATTGTGGCACACAACAAAACAATGTTTAATATTTTATGTTCTCCTAACCATATGAAACTTTTGGAGTCACGAACAGTTTATACTTGGGAAGAATTCGTGCTAAGCGTAAGAGAAGGATTGAGGTGACTGGTAAAATTTAAAAACCAACAAACCTGGCAAATGTAAAATTGGCGAGCATTACACCGTTCTCCCCTTCTTTTAGCATTGACCTCTGCATTCTCCTTGGCCACCGTCTGGCGTCAGCGTGGGTAAATCTTATCAAATTCTTATGTACCTAAGTTAGTACTTGACCGCCGTGTCAATAATTGCTCTTAACACTTTTGTTGGATTTGAGTTTGGCCCGATTCGGGAATTAAAGTTTGAGAAGCGGTTTCTGGAACATCGGCTCAAAGACTGATCCATGAAAATGAGTACAAGACTTCATACTGTAGGCATGATGGTTTTAATCAGCAATTGTTTGCGCGTAGTTCTATTTCTGTTGTTAATAAACTTGCTGGGGATTTTATCCCAAATGAGACGTCATTTTTTACCATTCACTTGTAGCTATGTGCACTTCTCCTACTCCAAAAGCATACACTGGGTTACAAATCCTTTCTTGGGATTCACTACTCACTGTCACTATTGTGTCCCATCCCCCTTCCCTCATGTTATGCGATTCGAGCAGAGCGCATGTTTTCGATGTTAAAATAAGCCCCAGGCCACCCCACCTGGGTGAACATCATGTTTGACCACTTTTCATTATCTAAGCTTGAAAGATAAACATACGACAAAATTAATACAAGATTGTTCAAGTTTGATACCGTTATGCTTCGTTTGTTCGACCGCTCTAGTGCTAGGCGATATTTTCTCTATTAGTAGAATTGACTTCCAAACTATACTAGAACCGAAATCCCCTTTCCTTCGGCTCAAGTTATATATTCAGATCAAGTACTATGCATTCGATCGTCTTGAGGACAATCTCAGAATGCTACGCATACAAGAATACTAAGACATCTGTATTATCCATTGTGCGTTGTCATGATTTAATGGAGTTTGCATTGTTGATGCTGTTACAATTGATTAGGAATAAGTAATTTGTCCGAAAGCAAGTTAAATGTGATGTGTTCTAATGTGTTTACATTGGTGGAGGAATGTTTTGTGATGCAATAACCTACTCTCTTGGGGTTCCATAACAGATGCACACGCCGTGGTAATTGTCCAACACCTCAAAATGTCTTTTAGGCAGCCGATTTAACAACACATGGTCTATCCAGGTGGTTGCACGTGTGGGGATGATTCAGAGGGACAATATGTGAGCCCTTTTATAGACTTCACATAAATTTGCGAATTTGGCGCACATTTTACCTAGTTTTTTTTGCCTGATTAAGGGTGATTCCCCAGCTATCCGATTATTAAGCTGGCCATCAATATCAAAGCAGTTTTTCCAGGTTTAGTGTTTTTGTCAAGCCAATAAAATTGAAGCAATGCTTGATAATCATAAAAATGTATTAATTTTTTATTTATAGGCAGCGTAGGTTTTACAAGATCAACCAAACACCTGGATTTCTACAGTAGCTTCACCTTTGAAAACTTTTAATTTTCAGGATACCTCCGTGAAGTGCCTTCGCACTAGTCGTAGACATTTATATCTTGCGAAATTTCTAGCCAATCGCAACATTCATCGTCCTGTCTCCCCATTGGTAACTCGTGTAACGCGGCCTTTGCACAGAGCCAATTGGTCGGCGCCGATATATAAGCCATAAAACATTACGCAAAGCACATAAAATTCTTGCGCATTTGAGTCACAGTGGTTGAAATACATAAAGTAGGCTTAATGAATTTTCAAATTTTTAGATTTGGTCTAGATCAATGAAGAGTTACACCGTCATGATTTGCATCGGAAAATAGTCAAATAATTTCCCTAATCCATGCAGGATGTACAATTATGCTCGTCTTTTCCGCTTTCGATTCGTCTTTTTTATAGTTTCCAGGCTTGCACAACATTGAATGTTCTCCACATTGTCAAAGATCGCTTCCAGTCCTTGCAGAATGTATCCCCTTCAAACTGTCTTCATTCGCAGATGCTTTGGATGCAAAAAGCCAATTGTAGCTTCTGGAGAAGACGAGACACAGCATCACCACCTGCAAACAAACGATGGTCGTGCTTGGCATGCTGCATGTCTAAACTGCTCGTGGTGCAGATGTCCGCTATTCAACTCCAAAAATGGGCTCACATCTCGGTGCTACACAAGAGACGGACAAATTTATTGTCCGAGCGACTACTTTCGGTAACTTTAACACCTCTTGCCATTGTTAATGTCACTGTCTTTCAAGCGACTAGAACATGATATAACCATGAAAAACATTAATAGCGTCCAAAATCCCGATATAAAATTTGTTCAATTATAGAACAAAAATTCAAAATTCTGCCATATTTTGACATATATTTGCACACAGGTGTTACCGTTTTCATGACGCATGTGGTGACATTTACATGAAAACATTTAGAAGGCCTCATTTAAGGCCGTTGTCTGTAGTGGTTAAATATAAAATGTCTCGCTGTTTTCTTCAGTGCCTACTCAAAGAAGGCTAATCAACAATTTCCCCATTTCGAGACGAATTAAGCACCGTGTCCAAAATCAGTTGTTGCATAAGTCAGTGGTGCAGGGGGTAGCGGAAGCCATGACACGTTAATTCAACGATGGTGGTGTCTTTAAAATCGCAGTATGATAAAAATGCTTTGCTGTATCACATCCTCATATTTTCTACAGTGTGCTCAAAGTCTTTAAGGTGTTGGCCGATTTTGAATCTCCATTCGTCATGCATCAATTTCCACTTCTGTTGTTTCATTCACAATCGCATGAACTCGCTTATAATTTAAAGGTTAGGTTTTAATGTTTGTTGTCAGCGATTTCAAAGCCATGTCACGTTGCTCGAACCCACGAATGACAAAAGGGGATACCAAGACCGCCAGTGAATTGGAAACTTATGGTAAAACGCGGTGCTCCAACAATCAGAACTCGATTAGTGGATTAAGATGTTACTTACAGGCGAGAGTGTAAACACTTTTTGTTCCTTCACGCCTATTGCCAAAAAATGAACAAGAAGAATTTCTGCAAAATTACTTATGCATCCGCAAGATACAGGCGGAATGTCCACTCTCATTGCCCACTTAATAGTCTTTTAACGTGGCTCTATTACAATCCCACTGGTAGATACTCTGACTTTGCAAGTACATTCAAGGCTTCATGCAACACATTCTTAATTGTACATTGCCTCAATCATACAGCATTCCATGCTTGACGAGCATAAGATTTACAATTACAGATTGACCTTGCATCAAAAAGAGAGCTTAATTATCCACCTAAATCCAACATATGCATGTGAGCATAGACACTAACAAATTCACGGTTTGTGGAATCAGAGATCAGACCTTTCCTGCAGAGGTCTTTCACACTGTGACCTACGTGGGTGTGCGTGTCGGACTGCTGAGGACGCAGGCGATATCACTTTAATGTGCGTATGCATTTGCATTGCCGTCTGGGGAAGCAAAAAACACGTAAATCTGACATTCCGCCAAAGTGAATTGCCTGGAATAAGACACTCACAGCATCGTTTGAAGCGTCGGAAACTGTTTGAATGTTTCCGAAACCCACACTAAGTGCATTTAATCAAATCCTTTTAAAATATTTCTCAGATTACTACGTAGTCTTACTAGGCCTATTATGCGCTCCTCGACTGCAGAGTAAAGAAATACATCGTTTGGAAGATTGGTGATGCGAACGCCTAGGCTTCACAGTGAATAATTATAAAATGGCAGTAAGCAGAAGATTTTACGTCACTAATCTCTACTGTAAAAAGCGTAAAATTTTTCAATGTTACAGCTTTTCTCCATTGATGAATGCGATCAAAACAACACCGAAATGTCTGAGTTGTCAACAACCAATCAAACCCGGTGAACAGGTTATTCACAGTCCACTCCACACCTTTCATATTAATTGTTTCTCCTGTGACATTTGTGGCAAAGATCTTTTGCCAGGACAACCCTACACTCTCCATGAGAACTACCCAGTTTGTTTGGAAGATGATCTTCGAATTAGACGAGCCAATCAAGTGGGATCTTGTCTTCACTTCCCTTATTCTCCCACCCATGCATTCACGAGACGGAAGCGTGTTCGAACCTCATTCAATGAACAACAACAGCATTCAATGCAAGCCTTCTTCGCACAGAACCAAAATCCAAACGCTAATGACTTAATGAGCCTTTCTGAAGAGACCGGTCTTGCCAAACGAGTCCTTCAGGTGTGTTCTACTGGTTAACTAATTACTGCAATGTGAATGATCGTGTGGCGGAAGTTCTTTGATACTTTTTTTTTCAGGTGTGGTTTCAGAATGCGCGTGCCAAGTTTCGACGCGTTGGAGGAGGCACCGAACGAAGTACAACAAATTCATCCATAGAGGAGTGCGATCAATTTCCCCACTCTTGATCATGTTGCATTTTTATTGAATGCATTGTTGAACCGTTTGGAATACTTCCACAATCTTTTGTGATATTTCGGTAAATACAATTTTTTTCAGAAATATTAGCGACTTTCCGGTCACTATAGGCAAATCAAGCAACCTTCACAATCACATTTGGCGGAATTGCTTCACCTGTTCCCCATTTACTCTCTTCAATTTGGTTAAAATGATGGACGATTATTTGTGAATAATTTAAGGTTTGAAAAAGCCGTCATTGCAGATCTTCTACCTCAACAAATTGGTTTCACCGATTAAAAGGGACTGTCAAGATGGCAACTCGGTACACATTTCAAGAAGAGGGAGGAAGAAAAAGACTTGAATGAAGCGGTAGCGAGATCCTGTGCTCCCATTCAACAACTCTGCCCTCACTTATGTGCCACCTCGAAGACTCCATCTTCCATAGAGTCTGCGGTCTTTTTTTCTATCAAAATGGAATGCTTAGGATAAATTTGAACTCCTGAGTCGTAAACCTTGAATGCTTTCGAAAATGATTTATCACGAATCCTTTCATTTCTACTGCCTTTCCACTTTGTTGACACTTCATACGCGACAGTTTACACAACATGCATAGCTTCAAGAAAAAAGGATTCAACGGGTGAAAGGTGATCGCCTCCATACACATTCGTCTTGTCAACGAAAACTCGATGCCATTGCCCGCAAAGCGGAGTCACATTAACACAGAACCCGTCTAGTCGGCCAAATTTCCTTGCAATTCAACTATTTTTAGCAATAATAGAAAGTAGTTCTAACCGGAAACAAGAAATGTTCTAAACATTGTGAAATGGAGGTAATGTGAACACCTGTTTTTACCTCACAAGGAGTCATTAGGCCTGAGGCAACCGATGGAAAGCACACGCGTCTGTGGACGTGATTAGCTTAAAGATTTGGACAGCTAAATAAAAGAGGCTAATTTTTCCAAATTAAAGTAAGTCCAAGGAAAATCTTCTTTAACCATTAATTATTTATTGTACAGCAACAGAAAAAGAATACAGCAAATGAGCAAGATAAATAGTGTCATCGTGGAGTAGGGGTTTGATATGGGCGGATACAACGGACATATCATGCATCAGGCTCAAATGATTTTCACAGTGCATTATCATGATAATGGTGTTCTGTCAAAGTCATACCTTCGAGTTACGACACTTTAAAAAAATGCTTTTATGGTATCAGCTTCAAGAGGTCTGTCGTGACCATTGGCAGTGAACTGAAGCGTAGCTTTCAGCATTAAAACGATGACAATGGACGTAACTACCATGATATATTCGACTGAGGTGTTATGTGGTCCGCATCAGCGTGGACTTGGGTGTAGGATTGGCAGACATTCAGTTTGACTTTTGGGGCAATTCCCAAAAACTTATTTTGCTTTTGTCAATTACGTTTGTCACTAAAGGCACAACTTTGCCAACAATGAGGAACACCGATACGATAGGCAAAGAGAGTACATCCATCGCCAAAAATAAGCGCCGAGTAGGTGCACAAATTAAGTGCGACCACGCCAACAGCAGTAAGGCAATCTCGAGCTACTAATTTGTAATTCAGTAATATATATATACACACACACACCAAAACTATAGTTTCAAAAAGCGCAGATTTTAGCTTGCCCTACCTCCTAAACTCGGAAAAAATTCAATTTAAATAATATCAGAGTGGCCATATTGTCGACCTCGAATTTGTTATTGCCGAAGAACACAACCTCCTCAGGGCATATAAACAGAGGATGCTCTAACTCCAGACAACCACAACTTCAGCTTCACAGCTTCCTTCAACTTATGACCTCTCATGTGATCTATCTACTCATAACGGTCGCTTGTCCACAGCAGGTACCAGTAGCCCGCCTATGAACGTTCAAGTCCTCCTAACATACGCATTTCAACATCGTCTCATTCGTTTGGATTTCAACTGAGGTAATACTCAATTGGTCCGCCACCAGCACCTTAGACAACTACCCTCACCCTCCTCCCTCGATAGTGAGAATAACAAGGAAAGGCAACTAGCAAAATTGGTATTGAAAGATAAAGGCAATTAATGTCAAGGTTAAAACATCTCAAAGGCTGGTAACTTTTTGCCTGATGCTACTACTATGATTTGCATTTGCGTGGAGGAAGTGCAGCATGCAGTGCATCGTGCCATTGAGGATGAGCACCGGATAGGACGAAGGCAAGAGCTTGGAAGACGTGGACCAGAGAAAGCACTCGTCTACCCTCTACCGTCACACCCGCTCGTTCCAACGGCAGTTTTGCTGTCCGGTGGCCACGCTGCAACGCCTTCACAGGCAAGCAGTACACACTGGCATTACTACATCTTCAACACTCCCTTCTGTTCGTCTTAATGGCCTTGTCAAGTACGCTAATGCATGTCGCCGACTATTTTTATTGACTTACTCCTACACTCTTTGTTTTGCGTAAAACGGAGGTAAGCCGATAATGAAACCCCTTAAATGGCATGAAGTGATAAAATGATAAAACTCACTTGCTTATAACAGAGACCCTGATGATGATTGTGATCCACAAGGCCACCGATTACGTACACATCGTCAACGGTGAAGACGGGAGGAGTTGTGTTGGTAGGACTGGAGATGTCCTCAATGGCAGTTGTTGCACTACCATCGGGCGGATCAGCAGCGGTGGCACCTGTGCACGTGAACGTGGGCACGAAGGTGTCCGGTAAATCGTTCTTTGATTCTGCACAAAGGTAGACAATCGAAGAGGCAGGAAAGAGTTCTCTGTAGTCCTCCTTCATAAAAAAAAACGATCAAATAAGCACGTTCCCTGATTACTAAGATTAAATAGTCAAATTTTTTGTATATAAAACGCTTTGGCCTACAAATTTGCATTTTCTTTTCGGGGGCCTTTTTGGACTTATATTATCTTTCTTGACTCATTAAATTGCATTTCGCGGTCTCAACAAAGCCATCGATGCATTAATGCTCATTGACGTGCCTTTGAGACTCGAGGCATCCGACAGAAGTAGGTGCCAACGTCAACAAACTCCGCCACTGCGTGGGGATGGGGTCAAATAGTGAAAGCGATGCATTTAGTTAAATTTTCAGAATTTCCATGCCGCCAAGGAAGATGATAGGAGCCTCCTCATCCCCCTGCGCGCACACAACTGTCTATTCTCCCTCTTTTCCGCCTTCATGACAACCATTTTATCGCCCTAAAGCAACGTGTAATGCAATTGCGGAGTTGAGCAACACTTCATTTACTAAACAGAGCTCTTTAGAAGTAGCGTGATTGGAATGGACAACGAAAATGGGACTTGGATAAAGATGGAATTGGTTGGTCACAAAACTAATCGCACAAATTACCATTTTCAAATGAATGTCCCAGTTTTGAGCACCGATTCTACGCAGCCTAGCCAATGTGCTCTGCTCCTTCGGTTCACGCAGCTCCGCGGGCTGCTCTGTCCCTTCTTTGATCTCGAATGCGCTCCCAAGACCGGTGATGTAGAGCTGCACCGGCGCTGGTAGGTGTCGATTCGTTGAGTAACAATAAGCTATCTGAATAAGGGTGAATTATGTTGGTTTGTTGATGATCCAGAAGTAATTAACTTCTACGCACAGTACCTCAGCAGCTAACGAATGACAGGAAAGCAACTCACTTGATGCGCAAGTTTGCAAGTATCTTTGAGGGACATGAGGTGATCGTAAGCACAGTCCAGCACAACACGCGTCTTGCACTTCGATTCAGCCATGGAGACTCGAGGCGGAGGTGGCGGAGCCCTCGGTGAGATGTCTTTAGCCGCCGCCGCCGAGGCAGCCTTTTCAGCACGTCTAGCCCGTCTCCGCATCTTCACTGCCTTCCTTTTTTCACGCCTCTCCTAAACGCAAAACGTCATCAGGATTGCACAACTTCCCATCTTTCACCATCTTTCAGTTACGTGGTCATTACAAACCCCAGGACCATTAAAATTATTACGATAATGAAATACCCTTTAGCTCTACCCCCGTAGAAGCCCTAAGATCCAGACATACTCAAGTCATTCACAGTTCTTCCTGACTAACAGCCATCAGAGGAGAATCGAACATTGCCTGCTGATTACCCAATTCAATCAAACCATCAGAGACCCACCACCAGAAGCGCATTAGTGCAAATTTTACTATGCATAAGCCTACCTCCTTTCGCTGGATGTATCGCTCTTTTTTTGACAATTTCCTCCTCTTTTGAGCTGGTTCTACGGTTTCATTGATGTCCGCCTCGACAGGTTCTGACGGAGACGATTTCATTGGCTTGAAAGAAAAAAAAGAAGGAAAAAACTCGTCCTCTGCAATGCTCAGTTCAGGCATAGGCATGTGTAGAATGATGGCAATATTCAACGTCACCTTGATAAACGCAAACGGTAACCACAAATGGAATAAGTTCAGCCAGTAGTACAACGCCTAGAGTTAGAGTGAACAATGGCCAATGAAGACTGCCATGTCGCGTGGTGAGTTGACACGACCAACAAGAGACAACTCCAACAATGGATCTAAACTGCCAGGCCTTATTTCACTCAGTCCATTACTCCAAGGATGCACTGCTATGATCGTCCAAAGTGCCATAAGTTGTGAAGTACAAATCTGGAATAGTGAAGCTTTAAAAAGAAAGCAGTCCTAATAAGGTGTATGGGAAATCAGTAAAATTTGAAGGGACATAAGCGGCCTTCGACTTGTCCATCTTAGCCCCCACCTCTGGTCCATTTCCGAGGCAAAAAAAGTGGCCTAGATACTTAACGTTTCCGAGCTTTGAGAGACTAACGTTAGCTTCATAAGAAAATCTGTGACTAGTATTCCACAGAAGATGGCGTCTGAGGGGTAAACAACATAGAACAAGAGCTACTCACTTTCTCAACCTCAATTACTTCCTTTGAAGAAGTATCAGTGGACGGAACTTCATCAGCGACCTCTGTTTGTCCATTCATCTAAAAAACTGATTTTGAGCTGGCACCAAAACTTGGTGTTGTGAGACACACCTCTAATAAGTAAAAAGTACAAGGGTCATTAAACTGTATATTTACAAACGAGTAAACTGGAGCGCTGCTGATTATTTTCGGCGTTTGAAGCAGGCCACAAAGAAACCAACAGTAAGGTCCTTTTCTGTGGACGATCGCAAACACCTTGCCATCATCTTCGAGGCATCGTCGTTGCCATCTTCAACAACACCTCGCCTCTTCCAAGGAGCTAGTGGAGCGAAAAGTTTTGGTGCAGCAGTGGTCCCTGTCCTTGATCCCGTCTGTCCTGTATTTTTGTTCGTATCCCAGATTGACACTAGCTCAAAATCTGCCGCTGCACCAGACTTCATTAGATCAAGAACCACTGCCTCGTTTTCCTACAAAATAAAAAACATCAACCTGAACTAACAGCTGGTGATAAGCAATGGTTTGCAGTAGATTAACCGAGCAGTAAGCAGATTAGTGTCCTTAAAGTTTGCCGATGAGATAGTACGCACGAGAAGGCTACTGTGAATAAAAATAGGCTGCATAACAAACGAAAGCTCTACATGACTGCACCTGTTGGTTGATTGAGCAGGTTGAGTAAACAACCACCTCGACGGAGGGGAAGGAAAGAGCGTGCCGAAGAATTTTGGCCTGGAGGTTGGCCAATCGTGCTACACGCGCCGCCTCGTCTTCTTGCCCCTGAATAGCCAATTCTGGGCGTTTACAACATAGACCCGAGTTTGAACATGTAGGATCCACGAGAATAGCCTTGACATCTGCAAACGCTTCCTCATTCAAAGGATCGACGGTAAGGAAATCTCGAGGGAAGGCCTCACAAATGACTCTACCAGAGTTTTTTTTGCCAACTTCCCCGCCCTCTATCACACCGTTCACCTTCAAGATACCATCATGCATCCGGCGCAGATTAGAACAAAGCTGTTTGAACCTTAGGATTCAAAGAAAACTGTACTGGACATGCTTTTCAGGAATGCTTAAATAAAGGGGGAATAAAATTGGCACCGATTACCCCTGCGATTTCGATTCTCATGAATGGAACTACTTAAACACAAATTCTAGTCACAAGTCCTTCTAAAATAAGTCCTTAACCTATTAACAATAAGCTAGCTAAGCTGTTAGTAAAATAACGGTCACGTATCAGATTCAATGCTCCAAAGATAGTGTCCTTTATAGAGTAAGTTATCAAGAGAATAGATGGTGTGGTTGACGAAAGCGGAACCAATGGGAGAACGAACAACACACCACTGCCCTCCTGAAGTAAGTCCATGCTACATCATATAAAAGCACTGCTTGATGACGTTTATGCATGCAAAAAGAACATAACCACGCCAATACTTCACGCACAAGTAAGCGTCGTGCGTGCTCGAACACGATGGCCATCGGCTACGTCCTGTCGATCAAAATAGAATCCAACAGTAGATATGTACCCATGAAATAGAATAGAAATGAAAGGATCTCTTGAATGAGGACACAAGACGCACGGACGATTTAAAACAATACAGGGCGGTGATGATGACGATGATGATGATGTAATCGACCAAAATAATTGAAATGTATCAAGCCAATCAAGTCGAAAACATCCCGTTAACATTCAGTGGACAGCCGCCTGCCTGATCCCAAATGCAGAAACGACAAAAACAGTAAATTCAAGTGCAACTGCTTCAGTTCACACCAAGATAAGACACCATAACAGCGATGAACTTCGAAGCGCCAGCTAAAGGATGTGTACTCTACTTTTAGAAGGTCATATCGAGAACGCAAATGACATTTCGCTAAAGCTAAACGATAACAACTTTTTTATTGACAATAGGTAAAGTTACTAAGCAACTACCTACCTTTTTTTATCACGGTCTAGGGCCATAAGACAACCCTTTTGAGCAAGACGTTTAAGTCCGGACAAAATGAGGGTAGCTTTATTACCAGGAGCAGCGCAGGCATCCAATATTTTAAGCGGCTGGGATCGAGGTAACTCGAGAGCATCCAGAAGAACTAGAGGCGGCACACAACTTGCCTTATAAAACACCATCAGAGACTTAGAAGTTCGCATTACCTTATCTTGAATTACAGCCGAGTTAGAAGTGATCACCGGTGAAAGATGCAAATCTGTACCAGGGGGAAGTACTATGATAAGACTTGGAAAGTGATAATCTCGTACGAATTCATTCTTTTTAAGATTTCGTACCAGTTTAATGAATCTGAATGGGGTGATCCGAAGAGAAGTTGAGGTACTTTTTGTAAGAAGTTTTCTCCCGATCGTAGACAACCTGATTGTGGATATCGTCGCCCGAAGAACCCAACGTTTCTATGACTTTATCCATTGGCTCAACGGAACGCAAAAACAGAGGAACTCGAGGGATGGAATTTGTCCTCGGACCCACTAAGGCCAATAATAACGGTAAAAAACTAACCCTTCTTTGCCCGCATTTTAACTAGTCTTCGAAGATCTGAGGCAATTTTGCCAGATTGACTATATTTCCTAAGAATTTTTAAAGCATCACTTCGTCGTCCGAATGGTCTACGCGGAAAGCAAAGGTCGAATGAGACTACAACCAAGAGACAGGCAGCACAGGGCGGTAAATCAGAGGATGTGATGTGCGGGTGATCTTCTAAAACACCCAATTCTGCCAGTACGTCAGAAATGGCCGACTGCAAGTCCAAGGATCTAGCCACGAGAGCATATATAGCCTTATTCTTCTAAAAATCGTAGTTGACAGGTTATTATCAAACTACCAGTCCTTGTTGATTGTAAAAAGCACTTCTGAGGCTTGTTGTCCTGGAAGAAACAAGACACAAAAGCCGTGCAGCATCGTGATAAAAACGAGACGCATCTACCATCACCTCACAGGTCGACACAACTCGACTCGACAAAAGGCTAACTTGTCCACGTATAGACAACCAATCAACAAAGGAATAGTCTTACCACATAAAAATTTGTTAATTGAGTCATGTTTTAGATCACTTGATAACTTAAAGCATACGTGAATAATTTGGCGCGAATTTCGAAGTAAGCAATTTTAGGCAATATACAAATATGGTGTGGTTTCTGCGTGATTTAATGCTTATACTAAACCGTAGGTGAAAGCAATGTAGGCAATGAATAAAAAGCTAAAAAATATATTGTGTAGCGATAGTTGATCCACGCATATAACAATCTGAAATAAATTTGACCTACACTCATGTTAATATGAGGATGAAGTTGTAATGCTTTGTTTATGCGATTATTCGGCATTTGGTGGTCATTTCAAGTTTATTCCTGCCCCTGTATTCTTAGGCTGGCCTTTGGGCCTCGCTCAGGCTCATTTGCTCTGTTTTCTTCGGAATATGTTTATCCAGCCTCACACACTGCTTTATTCCACCCTATAGGAAGTCTTGGGGCGCTATAGCAGCAATATTAAAAAAAGCTGGTCTAAAAGTGATAGTTACACTTATGGAGGTGCATGTTCGATAAACCGGCGCAAACGCATCTTGTATACATGCCACATACGTCAAAAGTCCACATTTACAAAGCCGTAGTTGTAGAGCTGAAAATTTAGCAATAATAAGACGCATTAACTTTTCAAGGAACTGTTGTTCCTCACTTGATACTCAAGTTTACGTTATTATTCGTTTTAATGTATCACTAAATTTAGCGTGCATTGCATGCTACCTGCTCTAATACGTGCTTTGCCTGGTCTTCTGGTGCTGCCTCGGCGCTCTTCATTTGGAGTCATGGTGCGGAGTCGTATACTTAAACCTGTCCTTGGTTTGTTTGCCTTTATTATTCTGGTTAGGTGTGGGTGCTTTCTTGGTTTGTGTTTTTAGTAGCTGCACTTGTGTAAATCTATCAAAACTTTGAAAAAATAATAGGCTTCCGGTGTTTGTGGAGTCTCTCAAGCCGTTTCTGAGGTTTCCTCGCCGCCTCCACCTGAGTTCATTGCTCATCGCGAACGTCTGTGGCAAAAGCTGAAACAAGAGTATGAACATTTTGTTGCTTCACAGCCTCGTTCACCAATTGAAATCACCCTCCCGGATGGATCAACGGTATCGGGCAAGGCTTGGGAAACTCGCCCTATTGACATTGCCAGAAATCTGGAGTATGTCTTGATTCTGTGTTCATGGTCATCTTCGCCTTCATTGACTGCCTACTCTTATTTAGTAAGAATAAGGCCGAAAAGTTTGTCATCTCGAAGGTGAACGGCAAGCTGTGGGACCTTGAACGACCGCTTGAAGCCAACGCAACGATTGAATTTCTCGATTTCGATGACAAAGATGGTGTGTTTATTCACTTGTGCCGGGTTCGAGTTTTCACTGAACTTAGGGGTATTTTTGTCTTCTACTGGGTAGTCTCTGCGTTTAGCATTGCGAATTGTGTTTCTGCAACATTAGGCTTATTTTCATGTTCTTTTTAAGTCTGTACGCGCTTCATTTACTAGACTTGATCAATTTCTAAACGGGATGTTATGGATTTACCATCGCAATTTCGTTCACGGTTTTTAGTCTTGTTTGTTTCTGCAACTCCAGGTCAGTACGTGTTCTGGCACTCGTCTGCACACATAATGGGTGAGGCCATGGAGCGCGTCTACGGAGGCCATCTATGCTACGGTCCACCCATTGAGGAAGGATTCTACTATGACATGTGGATGGAGGGAAGGTCAGTGTTTTCCGCATGGCCTCTCGAATATTGGTTACACTGCAAATTAGTCAATAGAAAGTAGTGTATAATCCATTGTTTATATCAGTCAATGTCATTGCTGCTTAGTGAATTCGCTTATCTGGGTTTCTGTTGTGTATTTCTCCATATTTTCTAGCCGTTTGATTTTCGACTGCCCTACGGGAACAATTGATTATTTTTCATGTTCAAGTGTTATCATATGCTTTGGAATGGTCTTCAGTTTTTAGCTTAATATTGTCATGGTCATTTGGTCGGCGTTACTTTGATCCGTTTCGTATTTGGGTAATTCAACGGATGAAACGTTGGAGAACATAGTATAATTATGTGGTTTGATTCCATTAACGTTTTGCACTACTTTCAATACCTGGATTGTGCTGAATCACTAACTTTTTGAAGTTGCAATTGAACTTTTCTCAAGAGCGCAAATGATATTACTCTCAGGAGCTTTGTTCATTGGTCAAAATTGGTGTCTACACAATCGGCTTTCCGCCAGGGCAAGATTGTTCGAACACTCAATGTTGTCATTTTTTTTGACAGCTTTTATTTCTTTTTCAAGGTACTTGTCTTGGTAAGGTTGGTGTCAACGTCAGCCGTTCTCACAAGTCTTTAATAACAAATCACGATAATAAATTAGTCTTGAGAGGACTTCATATTTGTCTTGTTTACCTCACTCACAAGCCATCTTTGCTTCCATAAGACGTTTGGGATAGACTTCAATCGGTTCTGTGCCAAAGTTAGCTGCGATCCATTGAACTGCGTTTAGAGACTTGCCTTCAGTTCTAATACTTTCTCTGTTTTTAAGACAAGTCCGTCCCGAAGAATACCCGCAAATTAACAAGATCTGTACTTCAATCATCAATGAGAAGCAACCCTTTGAACGTCTGCTCTTGTCAAAGGCGGACCTCCTCAAGATGTTTGACTACAACGATTTTAAAGTACGCCTTCTCAAGGAACGTGTTAAGGAACCCAAGACTACTGTCTACAAATGTGGCACCCTCATCGATCTCTGTGTGGGCCCCCATGTTCGTCATACCGGTACGTTCCCATTTTCGCTTCCCCAAGGTTCATGCGTGTATTCATGTCCATGTGGAATGGATGTACCACACTCTTCCCATCATCATCATCATCAAATTTTATCCTGAGAGTGCTAAAGCTTCTGAATTGTCATTGAGGCGACAAATAAACGCTTGAAATGACTGTCCTTTTGTCGCAGGTTCCTCTTTTCAGCAGACTCCTTGAGTCGCCTCTACTGACTACAAAATGTGGCAGTCAGAGCTTGGTCCGTATCGTTTTTGGCAGCTATTAATAGGTACCGTGCAGTTGAGCAATTTCGTCTTTAGGAAGTAAAAACATACCATCTCATTATTGTACTACAAATTGTACAAATTTATTCGTGCTGAGCGATGTGGCGGTTAAGTTGCCGACGATTCATCACTCAACTCCTCTAATGTTGGGTTGTCTTCTTTATATTAGGTTGTGTGAAAGCCATCACTGTCACAAAAAGTAGCGCGTCGTACTGGGAAGGTCGTCCCGACGCCGAGTCTCTTCAACGCGTCTATGGCATCTCTTTTCCTTCTCAGCAGGCCATGAAGGACTGGAAACACATCCAGGTACTTTATTAGTCCAGTTTCTCGCATTGCGTACAAATGATATTTATATGGTCATTCAACTATTCTCCCACATGAGAAAGGGCGAATTCGCCTCAATGCTGTACGTGACGTGGATGTAATTGTCTTTGCTGGGGTTACGACTCCTTGGAACGCAAAAGTCTGTTTGTGTAGTTAGGTGATGTCTTTCATGGAATTAAGAGGATTTTAGCCACTATTTTCCTCGTCTCTTACCAAATGGGAGTAAATGTAGTGCTAGTCATGTTTCATTGTATGATTTGAGAAGTCAAAGATGCTTTCCCGGGTGGCGGCAAGTGTGCAATTTGTTTCACAGGAGGAGGCTGCAAAGCGGGACCACCGGAAGCTAGGTCTCGAGCAGAAGCTCTTCTTTTTCAACGAGCTCTCTCCTGGTAGTTGTTTCTTCCTCCCCGCCGGTGCGCACATTTACAATAAATTGGTGGAACTGATGCGATCCGAGTACTGGAAACGTGGCTTCCAGGAAGTTATCACACCCAACATCTACGACTCCAAGCTGTGGGAGATAAGTGGCCATTGGAAACACTACGCGGTATGCTGAATTTGAACAGCTTAAGTGCCGATTTTGCTGTGAGATATCTCATCATTCTCTTTGTTTGCAGGATAACATGTTCAAGATAGACATTGAAAAGAAGTTGTTTGGCCTGAAGCCCATGAACTGCCCTGGTCATTGCCTCATGTTTGCCCACGAATTGCGTTCACATCGCGATCTGCCACTTCGTTTAGCAGATTTTGGTGTGCTTCATCGAAACGAGTTCTCCGGTGCTCTAACCGGACTGACACGAGTTCGTCGATTCCAACAGGACGATGCTCACATCTTCTGTCGTGAAGACCAAGTGTGTTGGATATACGACTAAATGACCACTTTCTAGCCATTCATGCTTTTAAGCTGGTTTTACTCTTTGATGCACACGCTTTGGAAATGGGGTCGCTTCTCGAAAAACTTAGTCTATCACCTCTTTCGCCTCGTAGATTGAGACTGAGATTATCAATGCAATCAAATTTGTACAACATACCTACGGTATATTCGGTTTCTCCTTTGAATTCTTCCTCTCTACGCGTCCTGAGGACTTCATGGGGGCTATAGAACTATGGAATCGTGCAGAAAAGGTTTGTTTCGATGATGTCTGGTCGAGAAAACAATTTTTTTGCTCTTACTCCTCTCCTCTCTCCCATGACCTTAGCAATTGGAGAACAGCTTGAAAGCTAGTGGTGTAAAGTGGACTCTCAATGAGGGCGATGGAGCATTTTACGGTCCTAAGATCGACATTGTTCTCTTTGATGCGCTTCGTAGACGCCACCAATGCGCGACCATTCAGCTGGACTTCCAACTGCCTGAACGCTTCAATCTCACTTACCAAGCGTAGGTTCAGTTGTGTCAATTGTCTCTTCGATGTTGAATTCGATTCCATTCCAAGTGCCTATTTTTCATCTTTTAGAGGTGACGCATCTTCCGCTAATGGTGATAGTTCAACTGTTCTCAAACGTCCAGTTATTATTCACCGTGCTATCCTCGGATCTGTGGAACGTTTCATGGCAATTCTAACGGAGAATTTCGCCGGTATGTCAATTGTATCCTCTCCCATACGTAGATCGTTGTGATCTCATTGTTGGCCGTTCCTTATCCATAGACCGTCTTATTCCCTTCTAGGGAAGTGGCCGTTCTGGTTAAACCCGCGTCAGGTGTTGGTAGTACCTGTGGTCTCTGCGCTGGATGAGTATGGTCACAAGGTGCGCAACCAGCTTCACGAGGCCGGTTTCATGGTGAACATTGACACCGATCCCGGCCGAACACTGAACAAGAAAGTTCGCAATGGGCAACTAGCCCAGTACAACTTCATTCTCGGTGTGTGATAGTCGTCATCTTTATACGTGTTCGTGCTTTGCAATCAAATGTACTGGTGTAGTCGTGCTAATGCGATACTATTGGCATCGTAACTTATACATACTGCTGTAGGAAGCAATGTGAGTTGGCAAACCAACCCAACCATCTTGTCTCAATCACCTACTCACAGGTTTCGTTCCCTTTTAGTGGTGGGTGAAAAGGAGCTGAACAATGGGACAGTGAATGTTAGATCACGCGATAACAAGGTCTTGGGTGAACACACAGTTGAGCATCTGATTGAACGCTTCAAGGAGTTCTGTGCCACCAGGACAGTCTCGGCGGAAACGGAATTATAATCCGGTGTGTTCCCTTTTCGTTATCTCGATGTGTTCTTGTGTGTGTGTGTGTGTTCTCGCTTCCTCCCTACTTTGGTACTGTATTTTCTTCCCATTGGCCTTTGTAATCCCTTTCACTGTCGATGTGGCGTGAGATTGAGGATGAAAAGGGTTTTTAAAGAGGTTGAACAACGTTTTGATGTGGACAGCTGAGTTATTTCTAAAAGTTTATATCAAAAAGGCAGATGGCGAGAGGTTCACCACCTGTCTGTATGAGGGCCTCTGAAGTCTGATCTGCGGGTTAATTTGGTGGTCTGTGAGTCATACGATGGCCATCTAGTTTGGGTCGAGACGTTTGGGAAATTAATTTAGTTGCTTTGACGGGGTCATTTTTTATGCGCCCATTTGGTTTGTCGCACACAGCAAGCGATTAATGGCGTCTCAGCCAAGTCGGCCAGGAAATGCCAGAATGCGTTCCTTTCCTATTTCACAAAGCGCTGAGTGGGAAGTAGTTTTGACTTAAATCAGTTTGACTGCCATCTTCGAGGTTCAGCTAACCAACCTATGCGATGTGGGCTCGAAAGACAGAAGGAGAACACCTTCTGAACTAACTGAACCCACTGGGATGGACTGGACTCGGCTTGAGAGCCTCTGGCTTTTGTCGCTTCTACATTCACTGTAAGCAAAACGGTCGGTTAGACACATCCTGCTTTACCAATTGGATGATGCGGCCCCTATTTGTCATACTTGCTACTTTGCTAAGGTCTTGATGATTGTAAAACGCGCTACGAAACTGTGGCGTCGAGCGGCACTCCACCCGTGTCTCCGCTGCACGCCAAGTGCGAGTGAATCAGTCGACTGCGTTTCATCATCCACCGCGGGGTGTCACGTGACCGGACGGGAGTGATAAAAATGGTGCAGCAGCAGCAGCAGTAGCGGCGGCGGCAGCTAGGCACGCCGGTTCTGGGGCATTGCTGTGTTTCTCGTACACAGTGGGGATGAAGGCATTATCACGAATGCACTGTTGGTCTCTTCTCCACGGTCAGTGGATTAACTCGTTTTGGACGTCTGGTGATGTAGAATTATGATTCGTGTTGGCATCACCTGTGACCTCAATTCGGTTTGAAAATAATTATTAGTGTAGCTAACGGAATGAGTTGGCAGAAAGCGAAGTAGTAAAGTGTGAAAGACACGTGATGCATGCGTGTTATTGTCTTTTATTTCTGTGCCACAAGAATGCTTTCGATGTCACTTGAATTGACTTGATTGATGGTTATCCAAGTGCACACCTTTAAACCACACCTGGAATGAGGACCTCGAATCTCGCCTGACAATATTACCAACACCCCACTCACTCAGTAGGAGCTGTGGCTTTACGAGGTCACAGTGGTGTTGTTTTCAACTCCTCCCCTCATGACCAAGTGATCTGGTCTGCCACCGCCGTGGCTATTGCCGACCTTGGTTCCCAAAAAAAAAAACTTGTTTTCCCTGTCCATGAAAGGCCTGCAAGATGCCTGCCAGCTGTGGTGTCTACCTATCCATGTGGAAGCTTCTTTTCTCCCCCATTTCTGATGCTCATTTGCCTTCGTCTTTGTTGATCAACAGTATAAGGAAAGCAGAAGCATTTTCTTAGTAAACTTTCTTTTGGGTAAAAAGATTTAGGCTTGAATGCTTCAAACTTTGCGAGTGGTTGGCATATCAACTGGCTTCCCGTTTGAATGTCTGAAAGTGCAATCTGGTGTCGCCTAGGTTTATCATTCAAATGGCATCTTAAAACCTGGAAGTAATGTAAGTTTGTGTTCCGTTTGCGAGTCGATTCAAAACTTGTTATGGTTAAAATACTCAGTGAACTGTGGTCTCCACTCTCCAGGACACCGCTAACCCAAGTGCGAAGCAAGAATGTGAATGTGATGCTACTTACAATAATTTAAGTAGCACAAACATTATCCAAATGTGATTTATTTTTTTGTATGGTACGATTACTTGAATGAATTTCCTTACGACGTACTAAGAACGGATATTGGAGGAAGGGTCTAATTAGCTTGACAGACGATAAACAGGCTTCCTCTGTTGTGATTGCATTTTAGTCTTTGGCAGGATGAAGAGTTACACTAAGTTGGATCTCCGCCTACACCATTTAAACCGAACGATTAGTGTACACATCCACCCACAGGACGCCGTCGAGGTTGTACTCGGTTTTGGCATGTAGACAGCCGATGCGCTAAATAAATACGCCAATAACTCATCGAGTTAGAGGATAGGTAAAAACAATTTTCGCTAAAAACAAGCACTCTCCATCACCTTGATTTGCAGTTTAGCCAAGGAATACAATAATTTGATATTTACCGAAATCTCAGCATTTATTTGCTTGTGGAGGGTTCCAACACTAGTGGACATGAGAATTTGCCTATCACATCCGGTCCCTTTGTTTAAGTGGTCACAGCAAGCACCCGCCTAGCATAATCGATTGACCAGTTCAGGTCACGTCGTCGTAAGGGTTGCTGTCGCCACGACGGCCAATCAACGCAACACTTGTGTTGCCCGTATGCGATTAACTGCATTAATTATGGTTCACAGAGGTGGCCTCAGAAAAGTAACTCTTTCCAATTCTCGGGGTGTTATCTTCTTCTTCCTAATTTCAAAGTCTTTTAGGGGGTCTCCTTTTTTTCGCTCTCATTTGCTTCCTTTGAATGCCATTGCTACTTTCTAGAGGGCAATGGAATGCAAGTCGCCATCTTCCCTAAATATGTCTTTTACAATAAACAAAAGGGAATGCAAAAGGACCAAATCCACAGCCTAAATTCACATCTACATTTAGGAAAATAAGGACACGAAAAGACACAAAGAAAGCATGAAAAGCAGAAAAAGCGATAGATGAAATCGACAGAGAAATAACGAGAAAAGAAAGAAAAAGGCATGAATGGAATGAAATGTCATAAAGTAGACGAAAAACTTAACACGGTTGAGAAGCAGGATGACCTCCAGAAAAGGGTCTACGTCCGACAGCACTGGAAGATCTACTTCCGCGCGTAGAGGCTGCCGCTGCAATTCGCTGCTCCTCGATGGCCTGCACGAAAGTTTTGCCGTTCGATAGAACAAAGGGTTGACCCTTCTCCGCTTCATACTCATTAATCGCAGCTAAAGTCTCTCTCTCCGATTTCTCGACTTCCTTCAACAATCGTTTCTTCTCTTTCTCGGTTTTTAGTAAAATTCCACCTCGGTTACTTAAGATTGATGGGTCTTTGAGTCTCTGTTCTACCTGTTGAAGGGCACTGAAAGAGGTCTGAAAAGCTGCTATGGCCTCGTAGACGCGTCGGTGTTGTTGGTAGATAACCTTCAATTCCTCAATTCGATGTTCCAAGTAGTCTAATAACTCAACGCCATTGTCTTGACGTGCTTTTGCCTCAATTTTGGCCAAATTGGAAGACTCCTGATCTTCAAGGCAACAGGTTCTTGCAAGGTCAAGCAATTCGGCTTTTACACTTGGCAAGTACGTCACTATAGTTTGGAGACGTTCGTTCCGACATGCATCAGCTTCCATCTTTACAAAAAAGGTGTTAAGCATGAAATCATGAATGCACTGAATTCAGTCCATCTGAGAATTCTTGCTTTCTAGTCTACTTTTCAAAGTTCTGACAGCTTGGACAATTAATAGTCGATTTGTTATTCAACCCCATAGCTCATAAACTCGCTGTAAATGGTAAAGGTGAATCACAGTTGGATCCCTTTTCAACGGAAATAATTCTTGACCAGAGAAACAGTTCCATCAAGCTTGCCACAAATTTTGAAACGTGATATTTGGTATC